ATTTTTCAGAGCTACATTGTTGAAACATTAAAAGATGAACCAGAGACTAGTAGAAATGTTGAGCAAATCAGCTTAAAAAAGATGTTTAAGAGAAGGAAATTGATGTAAAGTAGCTATAATTTCTGGAACATCTTCAAATTAAAAAGATACATAAATATTTTGTTGTTGCTGCAAAATATTTATAAAACAAATCATTTATGTTTTATTTATATTATAGTGTAGGTTTTAATATATAACTATACTAATATCATTTTAGAATCAATATGATAAATTATAGCTGCTGTAAAATGTTCATAATGCTTTTTAATGGATATTTTTTTTTTTAAATTAAGAAACAACTGTAACCACTGTGTATTATGACTAAGGATATCTAACTAAGTAACTTAATTATTTGTAATTAACTGCTTACCCTTTAAAGTTATCAATCACAACATGTTAATTTGAGTTATCACCTTCCCTTAATTAATCCTTACTGTAGATGTAAGTTACAACACAAAAATGGGAAAATTAATGTAAAATTTTATTCTTTGCAACTCATAAGACTTAAAATAATACAAAACAACCTATCACCTCTGGTGCTTCAGCAGCTTACTGGAACTTTATATTAAATATTGTATATTAACTGGGTATTGCATATTTAATTGTATATTATCTGTGTATTTCCTTTAGTAATATTTTGAAGGACTATTTGAATTGCCTATACAGTATTTTCAAATTCTTAATTACATCCAGATTTAAAGGTTGTACTATGTTAGTGTAATCTGCTGAAAACAAAACAACTCTCACATTTTGTTAGAAATCTGTCATTTGAGGAAAGGTACTGGGATCCATAAAAAGTAAAACTTTGCAGTTTAGTCTCCTCATAGTTTTGTGTATTTTCTTGAGCCATTCCGTAAAAATGTCCATAGTCATCCATGCTTTTTTTTTTATTTATTTTATATTTTAATGGCAAAGTTTTTAATGTGTTTGAAGCATCATGGTGTTTTTTTCACTTTTGTATGATCAGCATTTGCATGAAGTAAAACAATGACTCATTCCTTACTTTGCTTAGCTGCATGACACTGGTCACTTTTGAAAATAGGGCTCTTGCAGACATGAGTTTAAAGAAAAAAGCAGCTTCACCTACATTAAAAATGTCCTTTAATTCATAGCCATCTAATTTAGCAGATAAATTCTTGAACTATTCTTCAAGCAGGAATGCCTTTTAATTCTCCATTTATTATATGACATGAGATTCCATGGCACATTTTAAATTTATACAGCCGTCCAGTTGAAAAGCAAGCTTCCATCCCTATACTCAGTCGAAGTGCTATTTCTTTTGACTTCTTAATTAATACGGGTTCATTCACTAGAATATTAAATGCGTAACACTGAATGAAAAATTATAGTAAAATGACTTCAACCTCAGAAATCTTTCTGTCTGGAGCACATAATTTCTTCGAAGAAGACTGTCCATAAATTTCTACTGTTCTTGCAACTTTTTTTCTATCATAAGCAACTATTTTTAGTGTTGTCATAGGAATATTCAATTTCTTTGTTAACTCAGCTTTTATCAAACCTTATCTTGTTCTTATCACATTGTTTTAAGATTTAAATTTTATCTTTTACTGAGTATATCTTTCGCTTTTGTGACATTTTGTATCAGTTGATTCTGCTTCACTTAGTTTCCTTAACAGAGTATCCTGGAGTAAAAACCATATCTATTTCTTCTTTCAAGTATGGCTTCTATTCATTAACTGCTCTGTGCCCAGATGCTGATGTTTCATGCCTTTGTTTCTTTCTCCTATCCATATTTCTGGGGAAATACTTGAACAATGGCACTGCGAAGTTTAAAACCAGTGCAGTAAATCAAGCAAAAGCGATATATAACCCAAGTTACATGACATGCAAAAGGAATATTTAGCTATTAAAATAGTATTGAATCAGGATCAAGATAAAATGATTTATAAATGTAAAAGATGTATAAACTAGATATGTATAAATGGTGCTCCACTATGTCTATGAACTCGGCGATGTTTACACGCTATACAGCTAACCAACAAACATTTTTTGCTTAATTCACAAAATTGGTAATGAGTTGTCAAATTTGATTAAGGTGCAGATAATCGGAAAATAACTGCAGTTGCATAATAGAAGGCTAAAAATATTCATCTGAAAGTGAAAATAGTTTAAGCAATAAAAACAACTGAAAATATTTTGTTACAAAAAACCGAGAATATAAGAATGATTTCTAATTTTTTTAGAACTGTTATTCATAGCTCCAAATGATTTTGATCTTTCTTGTGTTTGCCTCAGAGAGAGGATGTTCAATAACAGTGTTTGGTTTTGTTCTAAAAAGTATTTACTTTCAGAAAAGATCTTCTGTAAGAATGATCACAATAAGAAATTGCAATGTATTTTAAACCAACGAAGGAAAAGAAAAGTGTTAGTATTTTGTTGTTTGAGCTTTAGCTGTTATTGATCTTTCATTTCTAAGCAACAAGAAAGACTGCTTGTACCAAATTCTGAACTGTCTAAAGTTATTTTATCTCATTCTTATAACTGTTATTATTAGTTGCTCTCTGCTGTTGATCTTAAACAATATTTTCAATGGTATTTTGTTCCTTTGAATTTGGCCATAAATCCCAGGATACTTTTTTAACGCCTCTGAAGAATCTTATCACTTTTGCCTGGAAATTTTTAACTACTGCTTGTAAAGATCATAAATTCTTGTTTATCAGTTAGAGGGCATTGCTTATTAGCATAATAAAGGAAATCATTTAAAAGTTAATGGTTAATTTTTGATTATCCGTTCTTTTAACCAAAAGTTGCAAACTTATACTTGACTTTGGAGAACATTTATAAACTCACTGCCAACTAACTTTTCTCCAAGCTGATGCATAAAAGGATACAACCATTTTCAAACTGGCAGCACACTAAGAATTTGGTACAAGAACTATCAATCAATATATATATATAAAAAAAAAAAAAAGAAACGTTAGTAATAAAATGCTTAACCTTTTTTTAAGAAATCCTTCTGTTTTGGATTATTGTTCTTCCCAAGTACTCTTTGTGGCATAAAAAATCGGACTTACAACGACTCAAACTTCGTGCAACTTTCCCGTTGTGTACCTGTCAAAATAAACATGTACTAAGTCGATGCTCAGGTTGCTACATAAATACTCTTTGCCAACAGGATTGGTTGCCACATAATTATTTTGTTTTATATACTGCTTCGCCTCAAGTTTGTTAAAAGTTGCAAAAAGATATATATATGAGTCATTTTTTGTGGCTTTTTGGTGGGGCTGGAAATAATCAGAAGTACCAAATAATGTTATCTGTCTTTTTTCGATATATCTTATAAAATTTTGCAGCAAATGGTATTTTATACCTATAATGTAATACTCAAAACACATCTGTATTGCTGTACATTTTATGAGTTGCAAAATGTCTTGTCTATCCTTATTATTTGTCATCCAAAGAGAATCGGTGCTTTCTGATTATTTGCTTCCCCCTGAAAAAACAGCTACTCATTCATCACTTTAGAGTTGGCAAAAATCAGGATAAACAAATTGGAATTGGAATCTGGCAAACTGAAATCTGTTTGGCTATTTTATAGCTCATAGGTACTGTTCTGTTTGTGAATAATAATAAAAAGAAGCATTTTGTGAAGGGGAGCTCTATGTAGTCAATATTTACATTTTTCCAGCCAGTGGCTTATGTTTAGCAAAATGACCATTAAATATAAATATATAAATTCATATGTATTCCAAGACCTATGAAATATGTGCATGCTGAATTATTTATTGTTATGTATATTCTTTAAACTGTGCCAGAAAATTGCAGTTCTACTGAAAGTTGATACTACAGTTGCAGATATTCAGAAAGTACCATAAGACCTAATAGTAATGATGAAATTTGAAATTGGGTTATAGTTACTCTTTCTATATACTTCTTTATTATTATTTTGTTCAAATAGTCATCTCCATTCCAAACATTAACATCCTTTTTAACCGTTTGAGTCCAGCGAAGTGCTATAGCGCTTCACTTGTCATATGCCAAAAATACGGCGCAGCACGATAGCGCTTCTCTTATTTTGTATCGAGAATGCAAAGATGCTGCTGTTGGTTAGTATACTTGAAAAAAATTATTTAAATATTCAATTGGTTTCGCATCAGGAAGAGGGGTATGCTTTGGTCCAGGTAATTCAGAAAAAATATTCAATTCGTTCGAAAAAATTGTATCCATGGGTAAAAACTCATCAATAATATCGTCATCGGAGATACTTGCAGTTACTTCACTGCTATCACTAATAACTCGTAATCTCTTAGAACAAATGATGATGTCACTTCCACTATCACTTTCAAGGTCATTACTATACTCTTTATTATCACTTCTCATAACATAGTCACTTTCAAATGAATCAGAACTTGACATGGGTTATTTCGTAATTATCAGTATAACACTTAATAAAAAAATGAAAACGATTTCCAATTCCTATAAAACAACTGCTACAGATATCACTACAACTGCTCTCAATAATTGCGTAAAGTATACTAACCAACAGCAGCGTCTTCGCATTCTCGATAAAAAACAAGAGAAGTGCTATCGCACTGCGCCGTATTTTTGGCATATGACAAGTGAAGCGTGATAGCGCTTCGCTGTACTCAAACAGTTAATGTTCTGAAGCTTGCCTATTCAAAAAAGGAAATGCAGAAGTGAAAACTGGAGCTTTCAAAATTAAAAGTCATTTTCTAAACTTTAATTTCTTTTGACATTTAAAGTATTTTTCTTCATTTAATTGGCTGTATTTTTATGTGTTACTAGTAAAATCCTCCACAAGAGTTAGGCTGAGTAAGTTTTCGGGGGGGGGGGCATTTTTTTTTAACCAATATGTTTGATAATGTATCTAAGCTAGAGCTATTCAAAATAATGTATTTTTTTTTAATCATTTACTCATTTTGCATATAAAGTTTAAAGTAATATGTCATTGCATGATACCTTCTGTCTTTTTTCTGTAGGTAATTTTGAGTGTTATTTGGCAAGCAAATAAACTGGGAGCAGCATACTATAATATTGATACTTCTAAGTTGTACTTAGTAAATGATCACTTGGATCCTGCACCTCATTTCACTATTCTCAGTACATGTATGTATCTATTCTGTAAGATGTTATACTCTGAAAACTTTTAAAAACATTTAATTTCAGTATTTATCACTCTTTTGATTTTTTTAAAACACATAACAGTCTCCCCATGCATCACAAATGTATAAGGAGTGCATGGGTGCCAAAACCACAAAAGTACTTTTGATAAATTTGCTACCTTAAATTAATTATATTTATTACCCAATTATGCTTTCATTTTTTAATTTTAGTATATAGTCTGCATAGTTAGTGTTTACGATTTATTCCATGGTATGTCGCGTTCTTTCAGGTGTAACATGTGATTTTATCTTTGTGTGTGTGTGCATGCGATGCTTAGTATATATTGCCATTCATTAAAATCATGGCTTATTGCAAAAATCCTGCAGCATTAGTTTTTCAAAAATGAATATCTTTCACAATTACTGACATTTTAAGCTTGTTTAAAGTTTACCAAAAAAGTCTGCCTTTAATCATTTCTGCAAATTTAATGAATTTTTAAATCTGTCCATGTATTTTAAATAAGATGTTTTTGCATCTGTTACATTCAGAGTGTTAATTTTTAGCACATTTATTTCCAGATTCAAAGAATTGCAGCAAATTATGTTTATTTGTGATAATTGCACCTCTGTGCCATTGTGTATAAATTGCATGAGTTGAATATTCAGCATTTTCTCACCCATACCGAAAATGAAAATAGGAAAATGAAGCACAGACTGAAAAAATTAGTAGGAACATCTTGTATGCTAAAGCCAGAAGGCTAGTTCAAAACACACAGCTTCTACCAGATGTCTTTTGCTGCTAAGTTTATTCATACAATTGCCACCCAAACTTCAGTACTACAACCCATTCGTTCAACCCATACTACACCGAACGAATGACTACAACCCGTTCATTCGGCTAATTCTCGTGTGGTTTGACGCACGTCTTCGTGCAGAAGTTGATTCAAGCGCTCTTCATGAAACTCATTTGTTCGTCTGGAACAAGCAGCATCTTCGAGGCCGAAATTTCCATTTTTGGGTTTGGCAAACTAATTTCTTGCAGTTCGTTCAGGCATTGCACCTTCTCCGTACACTTTACAAATCTCTCAGGCAGCTTCTGCAGCATTAGCGCCTCGATTAAACGCAAAAAGAAGATGTCGAAAATGCTTATTTCTGTCGACTTAACACTCCATTTTAATGATCTGAGAAATAATAAAAATTAGCTCAGACAAAAAAATAAAATATGCCATCTTGTAGAGGGAAAGATTCTCTTTCGAATAACACACAGAGTTGCCAACTCTCCCGATTTAGGCGGGAGATTCCCAATTTTCGACCGCTCTCCCGCCAACCCGATTTACAATATATTTCTCCCGACTTTTTCTTATTCTTAAAATTTCTCACGATTTTTATGGAACTTGGCTTAATACTTTGCTAAATGAATAAAAAAAAAAAGTGATTTTGGACGTCTGAAAGCAATTGAATTTTCTCTAGATTATATCTAAAACAAAACCTTGCGAATCAGATAACTTCTGCTTTGTGAGTGAGAGCATATACGTATCCAGAAACGTCGTTCTCCAGTTCTCCAATGGGCATCGAGCTCCACTGCGTGCCATCTGGCATATATTAGCCAATGAGGACAAATCAAGCTGTTATTTGGATGTTCTTTAGTTATTTCGTTCATTTGTCCTGGGTTGTGTGAGTACACGTGCCTTCGGAAATAATTTTGAAATTACCATATTTTGTTATGCCTGCAAGAAAGGTGAAAGACTCATGTACGTTTCAAAAATCGTACACAGTTGACTTTCCTTCCCTAATTTCCTCAAGGAAATGTAATAAATTTGCGATGTGTACCGCCTGTCGTTACGAGTTTTCGATTTTGATGGTGGAAGGGCGGATGTTCTCAAACATGTGCGTACACAAAAACACAAGAACAACATAAGTTGTTTTGAAAGAAACGAAAAATTAAATTTTTCTTCGGAAACAAAGGACCAAAAAGTTATTAATGCAGAATGTCTGTTCTCTGCCTTTTTACTGGAGGACAACTTGCCACTGAATGCATTGGATCACGCTGCAGCTTTATTTAGAAAAATGTTTTCCGATAGTCAAATCGCTAAGAAATACTCAAGTGCAAGGACCAAAACAGGTGCATTTGTAAAAAAAAAATGGGTTTGAAAAATAAATCTTTAGTTATTGATTGCATTAAAACAACTCTGTCCTGCCTCTTTACGGATGGAAGTAATAATACCGATTCAAAACTGTACCCAATTGTGGTTTCTTTTTTTTAATTCAGAGTCTTCAGAAATGGAGTGAAGTTTACTTTCTGTCCCCACTTTAGAAGGACATTCGACAGGCGTTAATATAGCACAGCTAATTATTAAAACTTTAAAAGAAAATGCAGTGCCTCTGGATAATTTGCTTAGCACTTGTATGCCGATAATGCACCAGTAATGATAGGCTTGAAGACTGTTGTTGCAGGCATCTTAAGAAAGGAAAATTCAGATTTTCATATTATGAGATGCACCTGTCACCTCTTAAATTTAGCAGCTGAAAAATGGGCAGCTTCTTTATACCAATAAATGCGGATGAACACATTGTTGATATTTATTATTATCTTGAAAGGAGTTTTAAAAGGAAGGACAAATTGAAACAGTTCCAACAGCTGCATAACAACAGTTTACAATTAGAAAACTTGGATAAAGTTATAAAATGAGCTAGGATTGACACCCAGTGGAGTTTAATTGGAAAACTGAAAGGTGCTGATGGAATTGTAAAATATAGTGAACTATCTAGAATTATGTTGGCCATCTTGACAGTTCCCCATAGTAATGCAGAGTGTGCAGAAGCGTAGCTAGGGTTTTCAGGGCTTGGGGACAACTGAAGATTTTGCGCCCCTTTCTCTGTGCCAAGAACGGAAAGCATTTCATTCTAAAATTTCGTAACATCAATTTGGCGCCCCCTGAATGCTGCGCCCGGGGACAAATGTCCCCCCTTGCCCCACCCTAGCTACGCCACTGAGAGTGTGAGAGGATTTTCAGTGTTGTTGCGAAAACGAGGACTAAATTTAGATCTAATATTAGTGATGACACATTAGGAAAATTTTTATTAGGAAAAGCAAGCCTGTGTGGCGATTGCTATCAACAAAACAATGAAGTTTCTTTCTTAAAGAAAGCAAAACCTGCCACTGTTTATAACATTTGTACGAAAACTGATTAAAGTGTCTTTTTGTTTTCTTAAACGATGCAAGTAGTAAAAATGTTTTTTATGTGTAAGATATTTTTGTGTTGCTTGCATTTAAGAATTAGTTACCATTTAAAGTTAATTCATTATTAAAAACTATATTTTTATCATTTAAAATGTCTTTTTAACATTGCGAAAAATCTCCTGATTTCTTAAAAGAAACTCCTGATTTTTGAGTGTCATAGGTTGGCAAGTATGAACACAAAACATTATGTCAATAACTTTTATTTTTACCACGTAATTTTTAACACAACATAAATAGCTATCACTTATGTTTCAATCCAATACTTTCTTCAGTTCCTGTTCAATCAGTTTCTAGATTAGTTATTTGTAGTAAAATACATTTAGAAAAGAGCTAAATTATTCTCAGGATCGGAGAAAATTCGGTAGTTATATAGAAAATTCTGAAAGAAATATAACCTGAAATCCATATTGAATTAATGTATATTTGTTATTTTTTGTTCATTTGAATCTGCCTTTAAGAACAATATTTGTTGTGTTGAAGCACTGAAATTTATAAAATTTTAAAATAATGGCTCTTAATTTATATAATTTATGTATACTGTGAAATACTTTCTTTTATTCTGAAACACCTTTCAGTGCTTAAACAAACTGAGCCAACTTATGTTGTGACAAGTGCCAGAACAGATGAAAAATTTGTTTCTGCCTTAAAAGAAATGTGTAAGTAATGACCCCTCTACCAAAATAAAATGAATATTTTTAAATTAAATAAAGTATCTAAAGATTTTAAGTTCTAAGAATTGAAGTTTCGCTGTAGTTGGAAATTTTTTCAAATGTAATGTTTTTATATTTATTTTAAAACTAAAATGATTTCCCCTGTTTTCTTCTTTTAAGTGTTTTTGTTATTGCATATTTTATATTTAAAATTTCATATGGGTTAAAACTCAGCACTCCTGTTTTTTCCAAAAACTGTATGTAAGAACCAAAGGATTTTGTATCAGGTATATAAATATATGGTGTTATAATTGTCTTAATAATTGTTTATGTTCATAAAAATCATCATTTACATACATTATAAATTAAATGTATTTTCATTGATAATGATTATAAATATTAAAAAATAAAGCAAAGAGTTAAGTCATTAAAAAGCATGTTTATTGCTTTTAAATCGGTCAATTTGTTAATTGTTGGTTTAGAGTGATAGATATGTAGCAGAATTGCACACATGGAGTACATTGGATATAAGCGATGAACCTTAATTTTAATGAGTCTTTCCGTAAGATGTTACAAGATAAATGAGCATGTGTGTCAACCTATGACCACAAAAAACAGGCGAGATAGGTAAGTTGAACTTGATCATTATGAATCTTCAGCATCATGTTTGTTGGGTCTATTTGGCATTATGCCCATCAACAAGCACTTGACTATTATTTAATGCTGTAGTCAATACTGGCTGGTACTAGAACTCCACATGATGCTACTTAGGCCTTTTAACTACTATAACCATGCCAGCATTCTGGTCTTCAAAACACCGCACCAGAGTAATGAGAACCATGAGTACTACTATAACAACTATATCACGTAGTCTGTCTTCCGTTGGAGATTAAATGAAGTCATTTATTCCTTTTCAGCAATTGAGTTCTTTTTTCGTGAGAGATACCATCAGCATTCTATTGGAGAGCTCTCAATCATTGCAAATCCTTAGAAGGACAGTTGATACTAAAGTTTGAATGCATCACAAAAGAGGATTCAAGGAGAGTGGTAGTAGCAGTAGCAAATTTTGCATTACCCAGGGTGCACCACGTGGAGGCCTGTTACATTACACATTTTGCTACATTTGGCTGTGTTTGTGGACTTCGAAGCTGCTTTTGATAAAGTTTGGCGGCTCAAATGTATCCAGAAATTACAAAACCTGGGTGTGTGGGGTAATATATTTTCTTGGATCAGGAGTTTTATTTTACAAGGTTTCTGCAGCACTCATTTTGGTGATTCTATGTCCAACTTTAAGCAAAGTGAAACTGGCTTACCACAGGGCATGGTGATCAGCCCTATTTTATTTAATATCTTTATTGATGACCTACAAAGTATCTTGAGTTCTGATGGCTTGACTAACGCTGCCCTTTTTGCAGACGTTGTTGCTATTTGGTGCTATGCAACTAAAAGTGATCAATCTAAGCTAAACACTGTCCTGAATAAGTCTCCCGAGAGGCTGGAGAGTTGAAGTTTGAAGAATAATATGATTATAAACTTGGGGAAGACTGCTAGTCTGTATTTTACTTTAAATAGACAGCCTTTTACTTCTGATCTTGTTCATAGAGGTTCTCCCTTGCAGCATAATGCTGTTTCAACTTATCTGGGTTATAGCTTTGATAGCAAATTGAAATGGACTAAGCATATTGAGTACGTCAGCTCAAAAGCCAGGAAGAGACTCTGCATTCTTAAGAGATTAGCTGGTGCTAAATGGGGATGTGGCAGAGTTATGAGACTAGTTAACACTAGTTATGAGACTTATGTCCAGCCGGTTTAAAATTATTGCAATGAAGTGCTCAGAGAGAGTCTTGAGTATGCTTGATATTTTCCAAAACCAGGTTTTACGCTTGATCACTGGAGGTGTTAAAACTACTTCCGTGCTTGTTATGCATTTGCTTTGTGACCTACAGCCAATGACTAACCTGATTCAGAGGAATGCAGCTATCCTTTATAATAGACTTACTAGACTCCCAAATATTTCTTTTTGGCATTAATACGACTGTATCAAAGTACGTAATCTAGACTCAGGGCTTCATTCAATGTGCTCAGGAAAACACTCAATATAATCCCATTAACTACAAGGCCTATGAATTGTTAACACGTTGAGCACAGCAGTGAATTTGCTGTCCTTTCCATACAGCCATTTGGCTGGCATCGGCCAAATGTAAATTCCAGTGCTGGTCCCTAGGGGCCGGCACACGGAAAGTTCACTGCCAGTCCCCAGGCTCAATGTGTTAACTCATATAAATGCACTGCAGTTTTTTTGGTTCTCAATATCAGATTGGACTTGGCTTTGAATGTGAGGAAAAACGACTTATGCACAACTGCTCTTCGTGCCATTGCTTTGGAAACCATTAATACTCACTAACCCCCTGATGAGTGGCTTCATATTTACATTGACAGTTCCCTTTTGGATTTAGCTCAAGATGCTGGTGCTGGAAAACAAAGTGTCCAAAGCTGCAGGCAGCTGTTGAGCAGAATTCAGACAAAGGTTGCTTTCCAGTGGATGCCATCACATTGTGGCCTTTGGGGAAATGATATGGTGTACCTTTTGGCAAAAAAAGGTACGGATATTCTCCAAAGGCCTTCCAGATTCCTCTCTTCACTCTGCTAAACAATATGATTTATAAAAATCAATTGTTTAGCAGAGTCAATATGATTTATAAAAAATCAATATGATTTATAAAAAATCTTTTCATAATGCTGCTGTTAGTATTACTGAAAATAAGTCATGGAGGGTGTTGTTAAAAGCCAGCTGTGTCTCGGACTCTCCTCCTGCTACTGCTGCGGCTGAGTTTAGACTATTGACTGGACATGACTGTCTTGGTGCTCATTTGTTTCATTTTAATCTGACTGCCTCACCTTTATGTGCTTTGTGTGATTCTGGACAAGTCGTAGACATTGCTCATCTGGATGTGTGTTCTGCACTTAAGAGTTTGGGTTATATTATTTATAAGTTTGGATTGTATTGTAAAGAAGTATTGGAGAGTTTGTTGCCTAATGACCTGATGGTCAATGACCAGGCATTTGACAAATAAAATTTCTTTTCAACAGTGTGCAGATGCAAAAGAAATTCACATTTCACAACATTAATAATAAATTGATTAAATTTGGAGATGATGTTGAAATATGTAAAAAAATGCACTTTGATCAATATGATTAATTTACTTTTTAGAAAAATGATGTTGATAATTGTATAAAGTTCTGTAAAACTGGATAAGTAAAATATTTTTCATATTAATTGCCTGTATGCATTTGAAGCTGACTTATCAAAAAAGCAATCCAATTCTTTTCTAAAAATAATAGCATATTCTTTTAAATAATCTGTATTTTTGCTTTTTTGTTTGTTTTGTTTATGTGTTGTGAGTTATGTGTTATTAAACCAATGTATTTCAGTTCTACAGCAGAATAGTGCACAGAGGAGGAGTGAATCCAGCATTTTTTCTAACATTCTTTCAGACGAGAACGAGAAGCTCCATTTATTACCAAGCATTGAATTTGGTTCGTGAATTATTCAGTATTCAGTTGTTAATTATTATTATCTTTTTTATTTTTTATCAACTAAGCTCTCTCTTTCTAACTTCTTAGTTTCCAAAACTATTGCCTTGATTTTGTCTAGAGTATATAGTCTTTCTTTAACCAATATAGGCTTTCCAGTACTTTTTCTAAGAGCATGGAAATATGTTTCGCAAAGAAGTATTTTTATTATATCGTAAGAAATTAAAGACATTCATTCCATCTCATAAGGACACAATCAGTTTCTCAAAGTTCTTCACTCTTAAATTTCTCATAATGTCTACAATGGCAATCAAACTTAAAATAATCAATCAAGAAATTCTCCACCTACTTGGATTGATCAGATATGTTACTTGGATTGGTCAGATATGTGTAGCTTTTCCTTCTCTTATAATTGTGATGAGTGAATAAATCAAAGATATTTTTCTTGTTTTATTTTCTTTATTTTCTGATGTAATGATGATCATATCAGTATAGTAATCTGAAGGTACAAATTCAGTTCCTGGTAAAGACACAGTGAGATTGAGGGGAGGAATGTTAAGAATTAACTGTTATTTCCCCTATGCACTTTTATGATGTCATCATTGTTGAGAATCGAGCATTTAATTGATATTATGTGCAGTTTCAGTGGCATCATTGTTTTATTGTTTTAGTATGTTTTATGCATCTGGCATCAATATTATTTTTGTTATTCTAAAAGTTGTCATGTAAACAATAAGGCGTACGTAAGTTCTATTTACCTTTTTTGTTAATAAAGTCCAAAAATTCAATTAGACATCACTCTGTTTGTTAATTTTATAACAGGTTATGCGTTTTAGCGATGTTTAACTGCGCAAATAAATTAATGATGGCTATGTTGACATATTTGAATCCTGGTTTTTTTTTTTTTTTTTTTATTATTTTTCTTTCCTGATTTCAACACTTCCACCTGAACAGTGTGTAGGTAGACGCTACAGTGTGCAGGTAGCCTTTTTTTTTTTTTTTTTTTCTCCCTGCATATTTTCTGGTTAATGACGATGTAATATGGAAGCTAAAAATTTTGTTCAGTGTACCAAATTGGAAGGTTTATCCAATTGGACTGATTGGAAATTTGAAATAAACTCTTTATTTGTGCTCAACGATTGTGCGGGGCATATTCGATAATTCCCTTATCGAGCCAAAAGCTCCGGCAGAAAGTGCAAATGAAAAAGACGATACGCGAGTACAATGAAGCTGCAAAAGCGTATGCAAAGACGAATGCGAAAGCTGCTGTGATCATTCACACAAATGTTTCACCGAATGTGTTAAATTTGATCCGTATGCATGGTAATTCTGCACTAGTGATATGGAATGAATTATTAAGTAATTTTGAGAAGGTGTCTAGAGTGAAATTGGACACTCTTCTGTAGCAGTTTTTCACTTTTCGGATCGAGAAAGACAAAAGTGTAATGCAATCACTCGCACGTTTACGTACACTGTGCTTGGATCTGCAGTGTGAGCAAGAGTTGAGCAGCAAAGGAAAGTTGCTGCAGAAATTGCTAGCACCACGAATCTTATCTATTCTTCTTGATGGTGAATATATCGAGTTCAAATCACAGTGGAACTCAATGCCAAAAACGGAAAAAATCGAACACATCAACATGCGACTGCAAAGAAGAAATCAAGAGCTTAGAAATGAAAATACTGTGGCAAATGCTAATTATAGTGCAAAACATAGTAGAAAGAAACCTCAGATGGTCAGCCAATCCCAACCCTTGACAACAAATAATGCCAAAACGATGAACAGACTTAGTAAGACCAGTGATGGTGTGAAAGGTTTCAATGGCATCTGTTTTTGTTGTAATAACTCCGGGCACATTGGTAAATTTTGCCAGTTTTCCCTGACATGCCAATCACGACGAATGGCAAAAGAGACCTTCTTTGCAAATACTCAGTACAGTGCATTTGCTTGTCAAGAAGATGATTGTGGCCGAAATGTGTGGCTTAAAGATGATGGAGCTACAGCACACATTACAAATTCAGCTGAGTATTTCAAGACGTACCGCCATTTTAACAAACAAGCAGAAATCACAGTCGGTAACAAACAAACAATATCAGCATATGGCTGTGGGAACATTGACATATACGCAACGGTTGGAAACGTACAAAAATCTATTGAGCTCACTGATGTACTGTACGCACCAGAAATTGGCAAAAATTTGTTATAAGCCTCAAAGGCAATGAAGCGAGGAATCTCGAACTTTGGTAATTCAGACCATACGCTTTATCATTTCTTTCAAAAGAGACCCCAGATAATATACTTTTAGAAGCCCCATGTTCATCAAATGGATTCTTTGAACTACATGCAAAACCAGTCAAGCCACAAAGGGGTTCTGCTGCTGCAGCCTACTTTGTTTACAACAAAATGACAACTCCTTTTCCTGAGACGGCAATGAAGACAACGACAAAATATCCATTATCACTTTGCCATCGGCAACTTGGGCATCAAGGAATACAGTACGTGAAACAGTACTTGTGCCAAAATGGTATAGATTTTATCGACGATGGACTATTTTGTGAGCCATGTGCATATGCTAAACAAAGTCGATTAACATTTAAACCAAAACGATTCAAAACACAAAAGTCTGGTGAGATAATACATGCAGACTTACTCGAATCGCCAGTCTTATCAAGAGGTGGAAAGAAGTACATGTTAGTGATTAAGGATGATTACTCAAAGTTTCGATATGTCGAATTTCTGAGACATAAAGACGAGGCTGTGGATAAAATCAAGCAGTTTCTTGTTTGGACCAACAAAGGTAGTATAAATGTAAAAGAACTGGTCACAGACGGTGATCATGAATTTGACAATGATAAATTGGTGAAACTGACTGATGATGCAGGCATCAAGCTGCGAATCACTATGCCATATATACCAGCACGAAACGGATTAGTTGAAAGAGAGAATCGTACAATAATAAAAGCAGTTCGCACTATGATCAAGGATTCAGGCCTACCACAGCTCCTATGGGCAGAAGCAGCATCTACAGCTGTCTACGTTCTCAATCGAACCGGACCAAATAAGACTAAGGGAAAATCTCCGTTTGAGGAATGGTTTGAACTCAAGCCAGCAATCAACAGAATTCGAGTTTTGGGATCAGCTACATTTGTACATGTACCAAATGTCAAAAGAGGTAAATTAGATGACAAGGCTATAAAAGGCTATTTTGGTTATTGTGATGATGATTGATATCGCATTTTCATACCATAAAGGAATGATACGATAAAAAGTGCCAATGTAGTGTTCAATGAACAGCAAATCGGTCCTACTTCCCAACCTTCAAAATTAACTTCTAACACCGGTCTATCAAGCGGTATGAAGCTTATTTTGGAAGATGTACACAATGATGCAGACACGGGGGGCTGGTGATCTGTGCACTGATGAAGATGAACCAATACGGATGACCGCGTGTACATTGCGAGATCGTTCATCTGTCCAACGGCCTGTCAGATTTAATGACTACGACATGTACAATAGCATTCTGAAGTTGGAAGAGCTGAAAACATATGACAAAGCAACGAAGTCTCCTGATTACGCCGGCTGGAAACAAGCCATAGACAAAGAAATGGATTTGCATGCCAAACATGGAACATGGCAACTTGTTGAGCCACCTAACGGACGTAAAATCCTCGACAATCACTGCGTTTACAGAGTGAAAACAAATCCCGATGGCTCAATCGAGAGATTCAAGACGCATTTAGGAGCAAAAGGGTACACCCAGACGGTGAATATCGATTACGAAGACACATTTAGCCCAGAGTGTCACTATGACACTATTTGAACTGTAATTACAATGGCAGCCAAGGAAAATCTTAACTTGTAGCAAATTGATGTGGAGACGGCATTCCTTTACGGTGTTCTAACTGAAGAGATCTACATGCACCAACTCGTAGTCTATAACAACAAAAGTAAGCTTGTATGCAAGGTGCTTCAACATTTATGTGGCTTGAAACAAGCTGGACGATGTTGCAATGCCAAGTTTACTGACAAGCTGAAGAAACATGGTATAATACAAAGTAAGTCCGACAACTGCCCTGTTCATATGAAATGATTATGGACATAAGATGCTGATGGTGATTTATGTTGATGATGGCATTGTCGCTGCTCAGGACAAAGCAGCATTCTTCACATTTATGGACGGGCCCAAGCAATATTTTAACATTCGAGTAACAATGTCAAATTGTTTCCTTGGTCTACAAGTTGAACGTTTGAAAGACAGCTCACTCTTCCTGCACCAAGAAGCATTCACAAAAAAAGATGTTAGAGAGATATGGAGATGCTAAGACATCACACATCCTAGTAAAGAAGTCGAGTCTCAAGGTCGACTATGGTCAACCAAATGATGACGGCATGATCAAGATCAAGAAGGCGAAGCCTCTCAGCGGTGAAATTCCATACCAATCAGTAGCTGTCAGTTTGCTGTACTTGGCGATGGGGACTGAACCGGATATTGCTTACACAGTGAGTTTGATGTCTCGAAAGCTGAACAATCCTACAGATATTGATTGGGAAAGCGTACAGACAACATTTAACATACCTTCGCAATACCATAGGGCACAGGCATTGTGTACAATAATGAAGATGATAGAAGTTTGATGGTTGTTTAGTGATGCAGATAACAACAGCTGTGAAACACGCAGGTCTTGAACGAGTGCTTATTTCTTTCTATGGTGGAGGCGCAATTACGTGGTGAAGCAAGCTACAGGAGGCCATATCTAATTCCAACGAACAGAGGCCGAGTTCATGGCAGCAGCTGATGCCACGAAAAGAACCTGATAATGGTTGAAGAGGTTTGTTCAACGAAATAGCTAATAATGCTTCATTGCCTATCCTACAAATTGATAATCAGAGTACTATCAAGTACATCAAAAATCCAATGTTCCATGCACGCACAAAGCACATTGACCAAAGGTACAAGTTTGTGCAAGATGAGTTCTCGAAGGGACGTTTTCAATTAGACTATGTC